GGGGACAGCAGTGATAGCACAGAGACTCAGCACTGCCATGGGGACAGAGCAGGGGACAGAGAGCAGGGACAGCACAGAGACTCAGGGGACAGCACAGAGCCTCAGCAGTGCCATGGGGACAGGAGGGGACAGCACAGAGCCTCCTCAGCTCTACCCTGGGGACAGCAGGGACAGAGCCTCAGCACTGTCCTGGGGGCAGCAGGGACAGCACAGAGCCTCAGCATTGCCATGGGGGCAGGAGGGGACACAGAGCAGGGACAGCACAGACACTCAGCACTGCCCTGGGGACAGGAGGGACAGCACAGAGACTCAGCTCTGGGGACAGAAAAGGGACAGCACAGAGCCTTAACATTGCCCTGGGGACAGTAGGGACAGCACAGAGACTCAGCACTGCCATGGGGACAACAGGGACAGCACAGAGCCTCAGGACAGAGCAGGTGACAGCACAGAGCCTCAGCATTGCCATGGGGACAGGAGGGGACAGCACAGAGACTCAGGGGACAGCGCAGAGACCCAGCACTGCCCTGGGGACAGAGCAGGGGACAACACACAGATTCAGCTCTGGGGACAGAGCAGGGGACAGCACTAGGAGCTTTTCCTTGGTGGAAAACCCCGACAATAAGTGAGGGACAGCAGCACCACTGAGCCTGGCTGTGGGGTGAAGAGAAAGGGAAAACCAGTGGGGAAAATTCACCAGATAATCTGAACTGAGTGAGAATCTTTATTCTTGTGTGCTTTGGTACCTTGTGGGTGTCCCTTGCAGGAAGGGACAGCCCTGCTATGCTCCTCAGGGTGATCCCAGAGGGAATTCACAGAATCACTGGGTTGGAAGAGACCTTCAAATCATTGAGTCCAACCCAGCCCCAACACCTCAACTCAACCCTGGCACCCAGTGCCACATCCAGGCTTTGTTAAACACCCCCAGGGATGGTGACTTCACCACCTCCCTGGGCAGCCATTCCAGAACTTTATCACCCTTTCTGTAAAAAACCTTTTCCTGATCTCCAACCTAAATTTCCCTTGGTGCAGCTTGAATCCTGCCAGCCAGCAGCGCTCCTGGTGATGCCCACCCTCCAACCCCCTTCCAAGTGCTTTTGGGGGAACAGGAGCAGCCGATTCCAGAGGCCAGCAGAGGGTGTGAGCTCACCTGGGATGCAGGAGGGCACCCGTGGGTACCACCTGCCGCTGGGTGTGCAGCGTGCAGTGCTGGCAGTGCTCACGAAGCCAGGGTCACACTGCAGTGTGGCTGTGCTGCCAAAGGTGAAGTTCTCTGCAGAGCTCAGCTGCCCGTGTGTGATGGTAGGGATGGGACATTGAGCCTCTGTGGAGCACCAAAAAAGAAAATAAAAGGCTTTTTGTCACAGACATCTTTTATGAAAAATCCTTTCCTTAGGATTGTTTTCTCCTGAGAAGCTGAGAGGCCTCAGGAACAAAATGTAAACAATGGTTATCTGCTGCTGTGGGATGCAACAGGTGCATCTGTGATTGGCCCATGTTGGATGTTTGTAATTAATGGCCAATCACAGTCAGCTGGCTCGGACTCTGTCTGAGCCACAAGCCTTTGTTATCATTCTTTCCTATTCTATTCTCAGCCAGCCTTCTGATGAAATCCTTTCTTCTATTCTTTTAGTATAGTTTTAATATAATATATATCACAAAATAATAAATCAGGCCTTTTGAAACATGGAGTCAGATCCTCATCTCTTCCCTTATCCTGGGACCCCTGTGAACACTGTCACAGTTTTTAGGGGTGTTGTTGCATAATGGCACCACAGTGGCCAAATGTCACGGCAGCTCTGGCTGGGGGGAGAGGAGATGTGGCACTGTTGGGTCAGGAACAGAAGTGAAAGTGACACAAGCTCTCTTCAGCAGGCTAATAACAATAACTCCTCAGCTGCTGTGGAAACACCCCCCACATCCCTGCACTCATGGAACAGCACCTAATTGAGCTGTTTATTTGTATACACTACATATACTATACTTATATATAGTAGTATATATATATATATATAACCTACTACACTAGTAGTAGGTTATATATATATATACTACTATATATAAGTAGGTTATACAAATAACCTACTTATAGGTTCATTTTTATATATATATAAATATATTAAAAATATATAATAAATATATTATAGATAATATATATTATCTATAATATAATATGTACTATATAAATATTAATATAATATAAAAGTCTATTATGTATATTAATTATATAAAATAATATATAAATACACTTTATATATTATCTCTTTATTAGAAACCCATTCCTTTCATACACTCTTCTGATACAGATGGACCTGATTGGTCATTTAATCAACACACCATAACTACTGGCTAATTAAGGAAACCCTCTTTGGTAAACATCTTATGAGAAAACAAGTGTTCAAAACACCAGCTGCAAGATTGTTGTAGTTCTTTCTCTCAGCCTTCTCAAAACTCCCCAGAACAATTCCTGGGGAAGTTTATCTGACCAAACTGTCAATATCCATAGAGACAAAGCTGTGCAATGACTGATCTCTGAGGCAGAGGTTTGGGGGTTTATAAAGATCCTGAGCCATCAGCAGGAACCTGAACCTGTAGGGTTTCTTTTCCACATAATCAAAACCTTCCCTGCCCTTCCCTTGGAGCCCTTGCTCAGGCTCAGGTGCAGCAGCTCCCTCCAGCCTGACAAAAAAAACCAGTCTCTACCACTGCATGGCCTCTGTCACACCTGCACATCTCTGATGTCCCAACAAAAAACTCCTCTTTCCACGTCTACCATGAGAAATATCTGGGGGCTTATCACAAATAACAGAGAAAACAGACCTCCAGCAGCTCAAACAGGGTTTTTTCATGCCTGGCAGTGCTGGTAGGTCACCAAGATAGAGTTAAAAACTTGTCAGAACATCCTGGTCCTCATCCAGGTGCTGCAGCATCCCACACCTGCACCGTGCCAGGGCAGTGCCACTCATGCTGCCCTTGGTGCCGTCCCCATGGAAAATATCTTGGAAAATATCTTGTTTGTGTCTCCTCCACATTAATTATTGGCACCTCATTAGCAATGTTTGGCTTTGGGAAATGGGCTGAGAAGCATTAGGAAGTGAAAGCAATAAATATTAACAATAAAAGCAGAGTGCACATGCAGTGCTGGTGCAGGGCTGTGAACCCTGGAGAAGTTTCTGGAAAGGTTTGGGTTTAACTGAACCCCCAACTTCCAGACAGAAACTGCTGCTTATTCCCCTTCCCAGAGACATTCAGCACTCAGCAGATTTGCACTTCTGCATTCTGAGGTCAGCCTGGGGGATGCCTGGCCATGGCCCAGCTGCCTTGGGCAGCTCTGGGGGCAGCCCCAGGGCTGAGGCATCACAGAATCAGTCAGGGAACCAGGGAAGGGACATCATGGAAGGGACATAAAATTCGGAATGCAAGGGACAATAAAGTTGGGATGGAAGGGACATTAAAGTTGGAATGGAAGGGACATTAAACCCCATCCTGGGCAGGGACACCTCCCACTATCCCAGGTGGCTCCAAGCCCTGTCCAGCCTGGCCTTGGGCACTGCCAGGGATCCATGGGCAGCCTCAGCTGCTCTGGGCACCCTGTGCCAGGGCCTGCCCACCCTCCCAGGGAACAATTCCATCCTAACACCCAATCCAACCCTGCCCTTATTCACCCTAAACCCATTCTCCTTTCCCTGCCAGGCCATTCCTGGTGCAGAGCCCCTCTCCAGCCTTCCTGGAGCCCCTTCAGGCACTGCAAACTCTACCAGCTCTTCCCAAAGCCCCTGTGGAAGGAAAGCAGAGCCCCAGAAGCCCAGACCCCAAGAAGGATGGGCAGGACACTCACCCTGAGTCCCCATGGGCTGCAGCAGCAGAGCCAGCACTGCCAGGAGCTGCCCTGGCATGGTGAGGGGTGGCAGCTGCCCTGGCAAGGAGAGCTCCTCTGCCCTGAGAGCCTGCCAGGGAAGGGGAAGCAGCAGTGGGAAGTTGGGGACAGACCAAAGACGCCACTGACACCACCCTCAGCCCTGGGATGTGCAAGGCAGGGGAGGCTGCTCTGGGTTCACAGCTCAGAGTGCTCTGCAGTAGCCTGGCCTCGTGTCTGGAGCAGGTTTGGGCAGGTGGGGTGTCAGGCTGCTGTGGAAACACCCCTCAAATCCCTGCACTCATGGAACAGCACCTAACTGAGCTGTTTATTTGCATACACTTTAAATAAACCTATTTGTTATATACACTTTAATTATTATCTGTACTTCATACCTAATACAGAAATACTTCCCTTTACTAGAGACAGGAGTAGTACTTCATATGTACTTCATATGTATTAGAGATTATTAAAACCCAGACAGAGCTGTTTTTACAATTTCAGGTTTATTTTTTTTTTTTTTGTTAATCCCATCCCAAGACATGTGGCCCACACAGTGCTTCCCCTTCACTGGATGGTGCAGAAAAAATAAATCAGAACCATTCATTTCTTTCTGTACACTGTTATTTGTCCTTGGGGCACACACTTCCATCCTGCTTGGGAAGAATACCTGGCATTTTTGCTTTGCTAGGGCAGAGGCTTTGAGGTTTTCTTGGTGATAAGAAAAGTAATTAGGCAGTGAAGGGGTTGTTCCCACTAATGAGTGCAGTGTGTGTGAACTGGGCAGCACTGGGATAGACTGGAGAGGGGCAGCAGCTGCAGGTGAGTGGCTCCTACCACGTTCATGCCTGTTTCTACCACCAAAATTCACTTTCCACTCAGTCCCTTCCTAAATGTGCAGTGCCAGTGTAGCAAACAGACCTAAATGTGAAGCTTTGAAAGGCATAAAGTGATCTACAAACTGAACCTGGTGAGCTCTACAAATTGACTCACAAGTCACTGACTCACAAGTCATTGGCTCCTCATGTGACCAAATCCATGGCCAATTGTTAGATTTTGTCCTGGCTACTTCAAAGTCATAGAAATCCTCAGTCAGCATCATGATCCAACGCACAGAGGATGGTTCTTACAATCCCAGTGCCACCAGTCAGCCGTAGGTGGTGAGTCTTAGCTCCGTTTCAAGTTTCTGGATCTCCAGGAAGAGCTTTTGGACTTCCAGCCAGGTTTTCAGTTCTGACAGAGGCATTCCACACTGAAAAGCTGCTTTGATTTGAAGCACCCTCTCACACACCTCATTTTTCCTCTTAAAAAGAACCAAAACAAAGGCAGAGTGAGACTCCAGTGTGGGGTGACAAAGCAACCACCCTCACGAAGCTGGACCAAAGCTACAAATGGGGCAAGACACAGGAAAAACGGGGCAGCTGGTGGGACTTACACACGTGGGTGGTGGTGTCCAGGTGCCATCAGCTGAGCAAGTGGTTTTGGAAGGGTCCACTAAGCGCCTGTCACAGTAGAAGGTCACAGTTTCATTCACCTCATACCACATCTTGTTGAAGTTAATCACCTCATCATCCTGCCTGGGGAGCCTGGGGCACTGAACTGAGGGGGAAACACACACAAAAAACCCCAATAATGGGAGGAGATGGAGGAGAAAACTCTCCCTGTGACCCAGCAGAGCAGCCCCCGGGCCGTGCAGGGCAGGGCTGGCACTCACCTGGCTGGCAGGTGGGCACGGGTGGGTCCCAGGTGCCATCAGCCTGGCACTGGCTCTGGGCAGCACCACGCAGCCTGAAGCCTTCCTCACAGGAGAAATTCAGGAGCAGCCCATAGGGAAAGGTGAACATCTGTGGGGTCATCCTTCCCCTCTCCACCACGGGCTTGGGGCACCGAACCGCTGTGGGACAGAGCAGAGCTGGCACTGGGCTCTGGGCACAGCAGAACCCGGGCAGGGCTGCTCCTCCCGAGCCCTGATGGTGAGGAGACCCAGGGGCTGATGTTGGGAAGGAGGAAAGTTTGACAAGAAAGTCTCACAGATATGTGTGTTTAGCGGAAACATTTTTGAATGTAGAATCTGAAGAAGGAATAGAGATGGAAGCAAGTTTTGATATAGAAGGAAAGAATTGCTGAGCCAGTCTCACTGGACAACTTAAGGAGGCAAAAAGTATGTTAGTTAGAAGGGGTTTTTATGACTTAGAGGAAAGGATAAACCCACCCAAACAAGAAGATGTTTTTACCAAGCAGAAAGCACAGGCAAACAAGTCAGCAAATGTGGCAAGTAGAAAAAAGGTCTCAGAATTTTTTACTGCAAGAAAACTGAAAAACAACTTCTAGCTTGAACTGTAATGTACTGACTTTGAGTGACTGGAGAACTTGAATATGAATATGGTAACATGAATATGGTAATTACAGTATTTATGATGGCCTATAGATAAAAGTTAAGGTATAGATTGGTTCTTCTGTACGAAGATGCTCAGCGAAGAAAAGTCTATAATGCAATGTAACCAAAACCAAGGGGTCTCCAGGCCTGCCTGCAGCTGGAGCTGACAGCTGTGGGCACAGCTCTGTCACCCACGACCCTGGACTGCTGTAACCTCTTGGATGGAATAAACTGCATTTTGGAGAGCTGCCTGGAGTCCCACATCCCTCATTCAGGCTCTTACACTCTGCCACTTCCAGAGGGATCATCCCCTCTCCTGTAGAGGAAGCAGCATCTGCAGGCAGCCCTGCTCACTTTAACCCCATTGTTCTGAGTGCTGGCACTGCCATGTCCTGATCCCACAGTGACCCCAAATTGTCAGCGTTCAGGAACACATAATCACAGAATGATTGCATGCAGATGCTTTTATTGAAGAGCTCTGGATGGCAGGAGTGCACAGGCCCAAATCTGACCCAACATGGTTTCGAGCTGAACATATTCTATATTTATATATTTAATATATTTAATATATTTAATATATTTAATATATTTAATATATTTAATATACTTAATACATTTATATATTTATATATCTATATATTTATATTTATATATATGTTTACATATTTATATATTTATAATTAATATATTTCCATTTTATTTATAATTTTATATTTTAGAATTTGTATTAATATTTTATATTATATGCATTTTTGTAGTCTATCATTATATAACTTATATATTAATTATCAAACTTACATTGTTCTATTGTATACTTTGATTTCATCCAAGCATGGATGGATTTCTTATGATCCCCCTCAAACCTCTAACACAGTTTCTCATGATTCTTTAAACAATAATTATATCCAGTCACATGTAACAATTATATAATTTATCATATACTGACTACACAGGCACAGTTTCACATATTCTGGCAAATACAAGGCCTGATATATTCTAGATAATTCAAGGCCTTGTTCGTGTCTCCTCCACATTAATTATTTCCCAGAGCCTACCTTTAACGTTTTCCCAGGGCCTACTAAGCCTAACTTTCCTTCTAACCCCCTGAATTTTCTATGATTTTAAAATCTTTCACTACCAAAACCACTCACCCCTGCACTCCGGGGCAGGTCCACTCCACGCCAGGCTCTTGCCATCGTCCGAGGTGCAGTAGAGGGACGAGTCCCCCACCAGGGACAGCCCATCTGCACAGCTGTAGGTCACCTTGGAGCCATAAGAGAACTCCCTGCCACCCCTGCCAGAGTGCTGCCCAAAGGCAATCTGGGGAGGGGGCCCACAGACTGTGGAAAAAAGAGAATTGAGAAAGACATGTGCAGCGCAGTTAGCACCTTCAGGTGAGAGCCAAAAGCGTTTCTGTGAGATCAGCACAAAGTTCCTTTTATGGTTGGTGTGAGGCAAATTCACAGAGAGCTGCTGCCTGGATTCTGGCCTCTTACAGCCCAGAAATATCAGGATATTCCCAGTGGTGGCCTCCCCACTCCTGAAGTGTTCAAGAAACACGTGGATGTGGCACAGTGGGATTCACTCAAAGCCTGGACCTGATGATGTTGGAGGTATTTTCCAACTTTAATGATTCTAATTCCAGCTCTGGGGAGGGGACACCTGGCTCAGGTGGTGTCCACAGGAGCAGGAGCTAAAGGCAGATCACCCACTGGGGGCAGGAGATCACCCACTGGGGGCAGGAGATCTCTTGTCCCCTGCGTGTCACACGTACCTTTGTCACAGAAGGGCACCTCGGGCTCCCAGCTCTGATCAGCCCCACAGGTGATGGACTCAGAGCCCCTGAGGACAAAGCCCTCCTCACAGGCCAGCCTCACCTGGGTCCCCACTGCATAATCACTGCTGCCTTTATAAACCTCCTTTCCATGAGGGATGTCTGGCTTTGGGCAACGTGGTTCTGCAAATAGTGGGAAAGAAAGGATGTTGTGTGTTTCCAAAAAGAACTCCAGTCATGTTTTCTATAGAGAAGAGTTACCAAGAAATCTGAACCATGGTAGAAAAGTGACCATGCCCCAGGTGCAGGTCTCAGGCTGCCTCTGTAACCCTGAAGGGTCAGTACAGAGAATTCTCCATGCTCTAATCTGCTGCCCTGGGAGGTGGAGCAGGTTTTTCCCTCCTGGCAAGGTTTTCCTGAGTTTTTTGGGGAGATTGCTGTGGTGCTGGGTCAGGAGTTGGAGCAGTGTCAGTTATTTACTCATTTTCTCCTGACAGGGGAAATGCCTTGGGAACATCTTCTGCTCCCCAGCCTCATGCCAGCAAAGCAGCCCCGAACACAAACCACATCCCCTTCCAGCTGGGTAAATGTCTCCCTGGGTTCCTCAGGAACCTCCCAAGCCCCTAGAAGCTTCCAACCCACCACCCCTCCAGACACCAGCTCAGCCCTGCCAAAACTCAGCCCTTTTTCCACGGGGCCCATCTGGACCTTTTGCTGCGTGTATATTCCACATTAACCCAGGAGAAGTAGATCTGGGGCCAGCTGGAGTGGGGGAAAACTCTCCATGGCTTCTGCCATGCTCATTTCACCACTCTGTCCCACCTGGAATGCACTCTGGCACTGCTGGGTCCCATTCACCATCGCTGCCACAGAGGAGGGTGACGCTGCTGCCACGGCCTTTGAAAGCAAATCCGTCACTGCACGCCACCTCCAGCCTGTCCCCGCTCTCATAAACCTCTTTCACTTGCCATGGGTGCAAGGGCCTTCCATTTGGGATGTGTGGATCTGGGCAGGGAATTCCTGGGAAATGCCAAACATCAGCAAGGGTGAAACCATGGCAAAGCCAAGTGGGTGACAGGAAATTTGTTGTGAAGACAAGGATGGATGGAAAGAGACTTCATGACATTAAATCTGCCCCAAAAGCATCCCTGGGCTTTCCTGGGATGTAGAATGTTGGTGGTGTACCCTCAAGAGCACAATGGGTGTTTTCCAGAGGTTCAAGGAGCTGGCAAATAAAGCAAAGCAAACTCTGCAGCTGAGGAATAAATCAAAGGAATTCCAGGGTCAGCAAAGACCATTCTGGGCCCTGGTGCATCCCCCTGTCCCCCAGGCTGTCCCCACCCCACATGCAGCTTCTTCACACACTCTGGCAGTCACAAAAGCCCCAGGCACTCACTTTCACATGGAGGTGGGGCTTCACTCCACACAAAGTCCTGCAGGCAGCTGATGTTCCAGGTGGTCTGCCCTGGACTGAACTGGTGGCCCTGCTGGCACTCGTAGGTGACCACGGTGTCCACAGGGAACAGGTTGCCAGCCAGCCTGGCTTTCACAGCATTCCTCACATCTGGGGGGTCATCACAGCTGCCTGGGGGTGAGACAGCACTTTAGGGACAGTGCTGCATCACAGGGCCTGGCATGGAGGGAATTTGGGTGAAAACCACAGGGGAGAGACCACCACCAGCAGGTACTGGGGAGAGGGGTATGTGAGGGAAAAAACATGTGATAAGAGAGGGGAAGAACAAACCATGTGATATAAACCGTTCAGTGCAATATAAAGACGACTCAGTGCAAATCTCCAATCACTCAGTGCAAAACAACAACTAAATAAACTATTTAGTGCAGTACAGCACTGTCCCTGCAGACTCACTGCGCTGGCAGAGGGGCACGGGGGGCTCCCAGAGGCCGTTGTCCCTGCAGGTGGAGGCGTCGCTGCCGTTCAGGCTGTAGTGCAGGTCGCAGTCGAACACCACCGTGTCCCCAAAGCTGTAGTCAGACTGGGAGACACTCAGCAGCTTCCCATTCTTCACTCTTGGCTGCTTGCAGGTCACCACTGTGCCAGGGGAAGCACACAGGGAAGCAGCAGTTAGGCTCCAAATAGGAGATGATATTGTCCCAGATTGCAAGGCAAGGTATATTCTATTTGCCATCTGTTAGAGGTGTGGCAGTTATCTTCTGTTAATTAGGCAGCTTTTCTCTATCTCTTCCACAATCACTGTTCCCTCCAGAGAGCCATCTGCTGATAACAGCCATTGAATGTCACTGCAGGGCTGATAAGAACTACAGCATCCCATTGGGAGATGTGAGCCCAGAGGGAGGAGCCAAGCATTCCTACCCGGATATAATCTGGAGATTCTGGAACACCAGCACAGCTTCTCCACTGGATTGCCCAGAGGAACAGCAGCTGCCTCTTCTTCCCCTGGATCTTCAGAGGCAGAGACTGCACCTTTCTCCAGGATCCCTGCTCCAGCAGAACCAGCCCTGATACTGCAGGAGGGCTGAGCCACAATTCCAATGGGACTGCTGCCAACAGCCTGACCCACAGGGTGTCAGGTTGGGTTCTGACTCTGTCAGTGTTGTTTTAGTGTACTGCATTGTTTATTTTATCCTTTTTTTTTTTTCCTTTTCTCTATTAAAGAACTGTTATTCTTGCTCCCAAATTTTTGCCTGAGAGCCCCTTAATTTCAAATTTATAGTAATTCAGAGGGAGGGGGTTTACACTTTCCATTTCAGGGGAGGCTCCTGCCTTCCTTAGCAGACACCTGGCTTTCCAAACCGAGACAGATATATGGAATATGAGGGTTTTGAAAAAGCCCCCATCACCTTTTTCAGAAGGGCTGAAAACAGCAGCAGGGTGACATGCTGGTTTTGTACATCTTGCCCCATGTTACAGCAGGGGTTTTTAAGGCAAGGCATAACGAGAACCCAGGGGAGCAGGTTTGGGAATTTCTTTGCAGCTGTTCTGGTTCACAGCAGGTGAGAGGGATCCCCTGCCCTGTGAGCACAGTAAAATCCCACTCCCACCTCCCTGCTGACACCGTGACCGTGAGGGGAGACCCCAATCCCTGTCACCTGTCACAGCTGCCACACTCAGAGAGTCCCATCTGCAAAAGGTGATTCCATTCCAGCAGGATGGAGGGGAGAGGAGGTTCCAAGGGAGGAAACAGCAGAGCAGGAGCAGGCAGCAGTGCGGAAGCTGGTGCTGGGTTGTGGGAGCATCTCACCTTTGCATTCTGGAGCTGGGCTGCTCCACACACCATTCAGGTTGTCCCTGCTTGTGCAGAAAATGGAGGCCTCTCCCACCAAGGAGAAAGGTCTCTCTCCTCTCCTGGGCCTGTGGCACTGGTAGGTGACAGAGTCCCCATACTGAAAATGGTCCTTGTCCATCCCACTGTGCTGCCCATTCTCTATTTCTGGAGGGGGTGCACAGGGAATTGCTGTGGAAGGAGGGGAAGATCATCATGGGAATGAGAAGAAGAGGCAAAAAAAAAAAATTTAATAAGTTTTAAACCAAGGATCTGGCCAGAAAAAGGTGGGAACAGGAGGTAGCAGAAGGGTCAGAAATCAAAGGCAGGTCTTGAGGAGCTGCACCAGCCCTGAGCTCTGGCTGGACACTGAGAGGGTTTGGGATATCCCAGGCTCAAATGCAGCTGCATCACTCCCAGAGAGTGAATGAACATTTCTGCAGGAAGGGAAACACAGATTAAAAATGTCTTTCTAGGCTCCACCATGCCAAAATCCTGAGCAGATGCCGCTGAGATACCAAAATCCTCAGCAGAGCAACACAACAGCCTCCTTATCCAGCCTCAGCCACATCCCCGATAATTAAAGAATAGATAATTAAGGAACTCTGCTTACCCTGACAAGTGGGAATATCTCTGTCCCAGGTAAGAACCTCATTTCTGATCACACATTCAATCTCAGAGTCTCCAATCAGTCTGTACCTGTGTGAGACAGGGGAGAGGGAATTATCCCACAGACTCAGTCCTGATGTGTTACCCACATCACCACCAGCAATATTTGGGCTCCTTTGTCAGAATTCCAGAGATCAGAAATTGGTCAGAAAGTGTCACTTCCTCAAGGACACGCTGGCTTTTGACAAAAACATTTTTTTAATTAAAAAAAATGACCCGTTTCTAAGGAAATGCATAATCTTTATCAACTACTTACAGCTCTGAGCTCAGTATTCACCTCTTTCCTTCAAAAGGACCCTGAAACATTGGGAATGGTTTGAAAAGAGGCAGGAGGGTGAGCCTGAGTTTGGGAAGAACTGTCTCAAAGCAGGAGATTGAGACACTCACAGTCAGTCTTAAAGCTTAAAAGGTATTTCAGTCAGGGTCTGCAATTACCTACATGGGGGAGGCTCTGACTGCAAAGGGAGGAAAAACTTTGGAAAACTGGCTGGAGAGGGAGAAGCCCTGTGGCCCAGGTGCTCGTGGCTTACCCAGCGTTGCAGGTGAAGGTCACTTTGGAACCAAAGGCGAATGCTTCAGGCACGACCAGTCTGCCATTGGCCAGCTCCCCGGGGTAGCTGCACGCCCTGGCTGGGGACAGCAGGGCTCCAGTCAGCTCCCAGCTCAGTTTCTTGGTAGGAAAGCCAAAGAGTTGCCCAGTTCTGAGCCAGGGGATGGAGCAGAGACTTCCAGATGTCCCCTCCAACCTCAGGTTATTCTGTGACTCCCAGTGCTGGCCAGACCTGCCCTGTGAGCTGCTGGCTCTGGGGTTTGCAGAGACCTGTGGCACCATCTCTACCCAGCTAAAGGACCCTCCCTCTGCAGCTCCAATGCTTTTTTAGACACAGAGGCTCAAAATGCCTGAGCAGAAGGACATCCTTTGAGTCAGCAGTGAAGCACAGCCAGCACCAGAGGTGATTTCAGCTCCTGCCATCACCCAGAGGAACAAACCCAGTGCTTTCCTTAGGTCACTCATTGCCACCATCCCCAGGGCTCACTTGGGGTTCTGCTCCAACAGAAAGAATCAAAACCAAAAGCTACAGAATCCCAGAATGGTTGGGGTTGGGAGGGATCCTAGAGATGATCTTGTACCAACCCAAGTGTCACTGTCATATTTTCTGGAAAATCCTCTTTGCCCAGAATTCTTCTTCTGGGAAGCTGAGAAGCCTCAGAGAAAAAGGAAAACAATAATTATCTGATTTGCTTCTCCTGTGTTTTGCTGCTTTGGAATATGGTTTGGACATTGTTTACCCACAGGTGCTTGTTTCATTGGTTGCATGTGAATTGTTTTGACTTATTGGCCAATTATAGTCAAGCTGTGTTGGACTCTCGGAAGGGAGAATCACAGGTTTTCATTATCATTCTTTCCAGCCTTCTGTCTGTATCCTTTCTCTATTCTTTAGTATTCTTTTATCTCAGAATCTCTGCTGGTCAGGGCGACTCTGGGATACATAAAAAGCGTCTTTTCACAGCCCGGCAGTCAAAGGAGGAATCAGAACTCTTCTGTTCTCGTTCCATAGGTTGTTTATTGTTTCTAATCTATAAAATTCTTTCTCTGACCCGCTGAGATCTGTCTGGCAGGTTGGGTTGAGGCACACTGCCCGCCTCAGAGATGGTGTTGTCTTTTTATACTAAAAATTACATGTACAATATTTACAATTACTTTCCAATACCTATCACCTGTTAGACAGTGAGCTACTACTCTAAACCAATCTGCAAGTGCCACCATCACAGCAGAAGATGGAGGCCAAGAACAAGAAGGATAAAGGTTGGACATGCCCAGATTCCTCCATCTTGCCTCTTGAACTCCCATTCTAAAAACCCCAAAAAATCTATTTTTCACCCCATGACAAAATAACTATTATTCTACTTTAACTTTCTTGACTTGTAATTCTTCATATAAACGTTGGTAATTGTTTTTCCAGGGGCTAAATCAAAGGCACAGGGGTCTTGAGCTCTGTGCCAGGGTCTCTGAGCCTCCCGGGCAGGGCCTCGAGCCCTCCAGGGCAGCCAGAGGAATTTTGTGGGTTCTGACACTTTTAGTATAATATTCTTTAACACCATGTAATATCATAAAATAATAAATCAGCCTTCTGAGAACATGGGGTCAGATTCATTCCTTCCTCCTTCATCTGGGGACCCCAAAACCACCAGACCCAAGGGCAGGGACCCCCCAGACACACTCACGTATGCAGATGTCACTGGATCCACGCCACAGCCCGTTCACTCCGCAGGTGAGGACGTTTGAAACGCGAGCGTTTCTCACATAGCCTGGCCTGCAGACAAACTCAACCCTGTAGCCATAGTGGAAGTGCTCGATGCCCTCCAGCCGCCACTTGGGCTCTGCTGATGGAGATCGTGGTGGAGGGGGACAGCGACCTGGGGACACAGAGCTTTGTCACCATGGCATCTTCTGGAAAATCCACTTTGCCCAGGATTTTCTCCTGGGAAGCTGAGAAGCCTCAGAGAAAAATGAAAACAATAATTATCTGAATCCTCCTCCTGTGTTTTGCTGCTTTGGAATGTGGCTTGGACATGGTTTACCATCAGGTGTGTGAAAAGTGTGTATTTTATTATTGGCTTTTCGTAAATATTTAAGTGAATATTATATGTGTTATGTTAGAAAGTTATGCTGTATTAATTTTTTAAAGTAGTGTGTTAAATGTAGTTTTAGGTTATAACATAATGTTAAAATAGAAATCATGTACGTGAGATATTTTTTTAAGAAAAGAATGAGGTACTTGCACCAGATAGCAGCCACAGGAACTTAAATCTTTCAGAAAAAGGGAATTTATTGCCCCATTATCAGGAGAAACAAACTTCTTCCTGTCTCCTCAGCCCTGAAGATGCCATTAGGATTCAGAGGAAGAAGTTGACACTGACCAGACAGAATCCTGTGTTTGAATGGAATTTATGCATCATGTATGAGGTGTATGAATATGCAACAGGTTATTGTTTTTAAGGGTTAATCCTCTGTTAATGTGGGTCCTTTTTCGGGCTTATATTGTCCAGAAAAAGGTATCTGGACTGTCCATTACTCTTTGTTTTTATTGTCTCATATTGTCCTAATCCAAATTGTCCAGATTTTTATTACTCTAATTATATTGCTATTTTTATAACCATTTTATTACTATTAAACTTTTAAAACTTTAAAAACAAGTGGTTGGCATTTTTCACAGGCCGAGTGTTTGATTGGTTCCATGTGATTTGTTTTTAATTAATGACCAATCACAGCCAGCTGTGTTAGACTCTTAGGAATCAGTCACAAGCTTTCGTTATCATTCTTGAGAAGCCTTCTGATGTATGCTTTCTCTTTCTTTAGTATAGTTTTAATATAATATAATATAATATAATATAATATAATATAATATAATATAATATAATATAATATAACATAACATAACATAACATAACATAACATAACATAACATAATATAATATATTCAAAGGCTGGACACAAAGCCCAGATGAAGCATTTCTTCTCCTCACTTAGTATAAATTATTGCACATTTTCAGCTAAAATAGTTTTGTACCTGCTTCCCACAGAAAGAGAAAAAAAAGGCAAAGGAAGAGCTGATCACAAAGATTTACAGAGCCCTTGAAGTGCACAGGCAATGAGGAAAATAGAAGGATTCAAGTCTTGTAAATCCCAGGAGAAGGTTTTCCTCCAGGGGTCTCATTCCATCCTGGTGGACTCGTTCACTTACTGTGGACAGTGACAACGAGAGCAGCAGTGAGGAGGGACCCAAGCACGGCTGCACAGCTCCTCTGCCTCCCCAGCTCCAAAGCTGGCATGGTTATTCCTGCCTGCAGGTCCCACAGATGTCACCACATTCCCCTCCTGGGCCAGTACCTGTGAAGAGAGCAGAGGGGTATTCGGGGGTGTTTATACCCAGCTACATGCACAGGTTTGATTTCTCCACCCCTGAGCAGTTCCTACAGTCACAGGAGGGGAGCAGAAGGAACAGGAGCTGAATTTATTTTCTGGAAATTTAGGAGTAAAACACTTTATATTTGTAGTAATAAATCTCTTTGGAAGGAAATAAATTCCTAGTCAGGAGAAATCCTGCTGGGGTCACCAGAAAAGCTCCCTAACAATGAATCACCCTCAGGGAGAGAGAGAAGTATCTAAGCAAAACGTTCCATCAGTCTATGCAAATATTCCCTGAGTAAAGGGAATATTTCATGCTGTAAGGGTCACAGGTCAATCAAACCAAACTGCTTTACAAAGTGGAATTTAAGTGCAATTTGCACTCACCTGGCACCCCTAGGGACCTGGAAGAGCCCTCTCTGTGTTATCCAGGGTCACTCATGAGCCTGAGCCCTCCCAAAGTCCCAGAATTTCCCAGTGCCTGCTTCCCTCCTGGGAATGAGGGTCACCCTCCCTGCTCCCTGCCCTAAACCCAACACCTCCCATGCCTGCTTCACTCCTCTGCCTTTCTTTCAGCCCTTATCACCCCTCCTGGATTAATTTAACTTCCTGACCTGGGTGCTCCCTACCCTAAACCCAACACTTTCCATGCCTGCTTCACTTTTCTGCTTTTCTTTTAACCCTTCTCACTCCTCCTGGATTAATCTGATTTAATTTCCTGACCTGGGTGCTCCCTGCCCTAAACCCAACACCTCCATACCTGCTTCACTCTTCTGCTTTTCTTTCAGCCCTTCTCACACCTTTTGGTTTAATCTGATTTAATTTCCTGACCTGGGTGCTCCCTGCCCTAAACCCAACATTTCCCATGCCTGCTTCACTCCTGGGCCTCTCTTTCAGCCCTTGTCACCCCTCCTGCTTTAATCTGATTTAATTTCATGACCTGAGTGCTCCCTGCCCCAAACCCAACACTTCCCATGCCTGCTTCACTTCTCTGCCTTTCTTTCAATCGTTGTCACCCCTCTTGGATTAATTTAACTTCCTGACCTGGGTGCTCCCTGCCTTAAAGCCAAACCCAACACTTCCCATGCCTGCTTCACTCCTCTGCCTTTCTTTCAGCCCTTGTCACCCCTCTCCTGGATTAATCTGATTTAATTTCCTGGCCTGGGTGCCTGCTGGAGCTGCACAGGAGCTCCCAGGAGCAGCCCTTGGATTTGTCTTACCCGGAGGCAGGAGATGGAGAGCCCTGGCGTGTTCAGCACTCACAGGATGGAACAGGGACTGCTCTCCTCCAGCTCCCCAGGCAAAGGAGGGGTTTTATAGTGCCCACACGCTCAGATCTGGCCCCACAGAGAGAAACTTCAATTCTGCAGAAATCAGAGCTGGCCCGCTGACCCATAAATCATTAACTCCTCCCGAGCAAGAAGGGAAGAGTTTATTCCACCCCCACAGCAAAACCCTACAAAAAACTGAAAGCAACCCAAGCAGATGTTGAAATTGTTTGGTTTTTATGTGTGGAGGTGCCAAGTCTGAAATAATCCTTGCTGAGCTGCTCCACTGGGACCTCGGGTGCACTGAGGGGTGTCAGGGGAGCTGCTTCACCCCAGGGCAAGGCCATCCTGAGTTCATCCCCTCCACTCAGGTTTTGTGTCGCTGGAATGGCTCCTGAAGTATTAAAAGTCTTTTTTTTCCAGCCCCAAGACTGAAGAAGTTGAGATTCCTCTGCTCTGGTTTTCAAGGTTATTTTCTTTTATCTATTCCACTCTTTTTCTGAGCTGTTGAGATCTGTCTGGCAGGCTGGTTCATGGCACACTGACCATCCTTGGGGTGGCGTTAGCTTTTTATACTAAAAACTACATGTACTTTATTTATTTACAATAATTTTCCAATACCTATCACCTTTGTTAGACAGTTGTCTCTACTCTGAACCAATCCAAAAGTGCCACCATCACAGCAGAAGATGGAGAACAAGAAGAAGGAGAAAGACAGAACACAGATTCTTCCATCTTGGCTCTTGAACCCCCATTCTAAAAGCCCCAAAATTCTACTTTTTCACCCTGTGACAAATTAACTATCATTCTATTCAAACCCTTGTGGCATGAAACTCCTCACACAAAGTTGGGAATTGTTTCCATGGTTTAAAATCAAAGGCACAGGTGTTTTTACTCCGTGCCAAGGACTCTGAGCACCTTCCCAGTGTCTCGAGCCCTCCAGGGCAGCCAGAGGAATGTCCTGTTCTGACACCCTCTGATCTCAGGAAACCATGGCCAAAAGGAGTTTCAGAAAACATTCCAGAAAGGGTTTCAGAGAGCGTTCCAAAAGGGGTTTGAGAAAGCATTCCAAAGGGGTTTCAGAGAGCACTCCAAAAGGGGTTTCAGAGCATTCCAAAAGGGGTTTCAGAGCATTCCAAATGGGGTTTCTCCATAGGAACAGCTCCAGCTGGAGCTCAGCAGCCCAGGAGGGCACCAGGAGCATCGCTGGGAGCTGAACATGCAGAGAATTCCAGAATGGTTTGCTTGGAAAGGACCTTAAAGCTCAGTTCCATGGAAACCCTGAGATCCTGACCTCCAGGAAAAACCCCCTTAAAAGTGAGGAGAGCAGGGGAACAGCAGTAGGGTTTAAGAGCCCCCATCTTATACTCAGATTCCCAAACCAGAGGACACCTGCCCACCCCTGCAAACACATCCCAGGGACTCCCTGAGCCCCTCAGAAAACCAGCACCCAGTGGAGAGTCAGAGCAAACAATGGAAAAGAACAGAGGACATTATCTGATTATCTGTGTTTTTTTAAGTCTCTTTATTGCAAATAAACACTGACAGATATTTACGCCCAAGTGCACAGAGCACACAACGCACAGCACGAACAGACACTGCAGCTTTTAAACCTAAAAAAAAAATAAACCACTTAGAGAAGGCAGCAGAACAGGAAAGTTCACAAGCAGCTGGGTGAGATCCCTCTGACCAAACAATGCAGGCAGAGCTGCAGTGCAAACAGAGCAGGGGACAGCAGGGGGACAGCAGGGGTGGCACTGGCACTGCTCGCCCTCAGAGGGGCACAGGGTGAGCCTTGGGGACACCCCCAGGGCAGGTGGCCCTGGCCAGGCTGGTGCTGGTGCCTCTCCTCCCTCAGCTTCATACCAATCGTAGTAGTATCCACTCCCCTCACCAACTTCGAAACTGATTCTCTCTGATATCATCCTAATCATTAAGGAGCTATGAAGCAGCATTAGCCTTTTAATCCAAAGAGAGGCCTCCTTAATGATATGCCTCAGCTAAACCCCAACCCCTCATTTTTTATCATGACACACTTTCTCTTTAATCATCCAGCTCAAACTTCTGTCACTGGTATCAATAAACCCCCCTCTAACAAACCACCCATCGCTCCAAGCACTTCCCCCTGAACCTGACCATGAACTGAAGCTCTTTTGACCAATTTTCAAGCCCATCCTTGCTAGGAATCCCACTAATCCTCATCTCAATAACATTCCCAGCTCTCCTACTACCTTGGCAAGCCAGGCCGGGCTGGGTTTCAGTGTCACCCACCCGAGCTGCTGGGAAGGGGACACCTGGCACAGGTGACAGCTCTGAGGTCACAGCAGTGTACACAGAGCAGCCAGGCAGGTTGGCTTGAACTCTTTACCCCCATTTTGCAGCTTTTTAGCCCAAATGCTCCTTCTTCTCTGCAGTGACACACACAGGGGCAGGCAGGCCCCGCTGAAGGTGACAGCAGCCAGCTCCACCTGTGCTGCTTGAAACAGAGGCACAGAAATTCAGGGGCTCACAAAACCCTCCCCAAGTCCTGGGGAAATGCTCAGGAAGGTGCCAGGCTCACATCCACACCTCCAAATTTACATTCACACCCCCAAATTTACATTCACACCTCCAAACTCACTAGGCCGCGGCACTGACCCCACTGACAGCAGGAGCTGTTCCACCAAAAAACATCTCAAAAAACCCTCGTTGTGCAAGGTCTGTTTGTTCTGGGGTGTTTGCAGGCCCAGTGCCAAGGGAAATCAGGTGGTTTCAAGGAAATCCCTGGCACAGGGAGCTGCCAGGAGGTGCCCACTGGCATCACCCCAGCCCTGCAGCCCCTCAGGGCAGTGATCTGCTCCCAGATCTGCTGCTCTGCTCCAGGTATGTTTGCTTTAAACCATTTTTCAAGGCTAAAAATGCAGGAGGAAAAAGCTTTAATTAAAGCACTGAGGCACAAACACTGCAGAGAAAGATGGAATTCCCCCCCACGGCCCCCAAAAAGAGCCAAACTGCAAAACACCAGATTTTCAGCAGTGATTAAAAAACAAAAGTCACGACCACCAACAACAAATCAACAGCGACATTCACAAATCCCAGCAGGTAAAAATATAGATTTTTTTTTTTTTGTGTCTCCTTACAATCATTTACTGCTCAGTGATATGAACATTCTGAACTCTTCAGCAAGTTATCCCAGCATTTTTGTGTGTAAACATCCTACAGTACATTTTCCACTCCTTTTTCCAGAGCAGGAGGGGTTTGGTCAGAGCAGCCAGCCTGACAAGGACGGGTTTGTGCGTTCAGAGCACTTTGGAGTGTGACAGTCAGGACTGCCATAGACAGGCTCTAAATATCTTCCTTCAACTTTTTTTTTTTTTATTTTTTCTGCTTTATTTCTAAACATAAAAACATTTAAAATCCAAAACCAGACCTGGGGGGGAAAACCCTGAGGAGAAAAACAAATAAAACCTCAATTTTTCACCAGCAAATTTCACCCTTTTGTGGCACAACTGCTTTAGATCAACACATTTTTCTGCTCCTCAGAAATCCCGAGGGGTCCAGATTTGTGCCTTGGTCCTCTCTATCTCAGTTTTATCAAATGAGAACTCTGGGAGTGTTTAAAACAGCAAAGTTTGAGCTCAAAATGCCCAGGTTAAGCCTCAAACTCTGGGGTTGCT